TGTGTTCAAAAGTTAAGTAGAGACACAGAAGATATAAAAGAGAACAAAGGTGGGGCTTCCCTGGCGGTCCAGTGGTTAGGACTCCGTGCTTCCACTGCAGGGGGGTGCGGGTTCGATCCCTGGTGGGGGAACTAACATCCTGCGTGCCACACGGCCAAGGAAATGAATGAATAAATAAATAAAAATAAAAAACAACAAAGTTGATTCTAGAGGTGAAAACCATGAGATGAAAAAACACACCGGATGTGATCAACAATAGATTAGATACTGCAGAAAAAAAGATTCATGAACTTGAAAACACAACTATGGAAATGATCCAGAATGAGACACTGTGAGAAAAAAGAAAAAAAGGAAGGGAGGGAGGGTGGGAAAGAGAATCCATGGATGGGGGGCAGCCTGATACATGGAAAATTGGGGTCCCCAAAGTGGGGGCAGAGGCTACCCACTGCTTTGGGTCCCCCAAATGGGGGCAGAAAAATTATCAGAAGAAATAATGGCTGGAAAATTCCCAAATTTGATGAAAATTATAAACCCACAGATCCAAGAAGCTCAACAGATTCCAAGCACAAGAACCACGAAGACAACTACGCCATGTCGGATCACAATCAAATTATTCAAACCAGTGAAAAAGAGAAAACCTGAAAAACAGCCAGAGGAAAAGGACATTTGTACAGGGACATGAAAGCAGATCTCTCAGAGAAAACAATGCAGACAAGGTGACACCACAAAGCTCACCTGGAAGATGAGCCAGAATCCTGTATGCGGTAACAATGTCTATCAAAAAGGAAAGCAAAATCAAGATGTAGGAAAGCTGAGAGAATTCATCACCAGCAGACACATATGACAAGAAATGTTAAAAGTTAAGTCCTTTGGGCAGAAGGAAAATGGTAGCAGATGGAAATCTGGATCCATGGGAAGGAATGAGGACCAGAAATGGTAACTCAGCAGATGAGACTAACAGGTGAGACTTCCTTTTCTGTTTGTTAAATACTCTTTAAAAGGTAAATGACTGTTTAAACAAAAATAATAACAATGTATCATAAAGTTTATTAGATACATGAATGTAAAATGTACTAAAACAATAGCATAAAGATTGGGATTGTAGAAGTCAGTTAATTAAATGACATAAAAATCCTAAATGTTTATGCTTCTAATAATAGAGCTTCAAAATACATGAAGCTAAAACTGATAGAAATGAAAGCAGAAATAGACAAAAACACAAGTATAATCAGAGATTTCAACATACCACTGTCAATAACTGATGGAACAAGCAGACAGAAAATCAGCAAGGATATAGCAAACTCGACAGCAGGGTCAACAAAATTCACCTGATTGACATTTATAGAATATGCCACCCAATTCCACTCAGAAGCAGAATTCACACTCTTCTGAGCCATATTCTGAGCCATAAAACAAGTCTCAAAAAACTTAAAAGAATTCAAGACATACAAAGTATGACTCTAACCACATGGAATTAAGTTAGAATCAATAACAGAAAGATTTCTGGAAAATTCCCAAACACTTGGAAATGAAACAACACACTTCTAAATAACTCTTGGGTCCAAAAAGAACTCAAAAGGAAAATCAGGACGTATTTTGAATTGAATGAAAATGAAAGCACACCATGTCAAAATTTGTAGGATGCAGCTAAAGCAGTATGAAGGGTGAAATTCATAGCAATAAACTTCTATATTAGAAAAGAAAGGTCTGAAATAACGTTAGAAACTTTCCACCTTAGGAAACTAAAAAAGGAGAGCAAATTAAACCCAAACTAAGCAGAAGCAAGGAAATAATGAGATCAAAATAGGAATTAATGGGACTTCCCTGGTGGCGCAGTGGTTAAGAATCCACCTACCAATGCAGGGGACACAGGTTCGAGCCCTGGTCCAGGAAGATCCCACATGCCGTGGAGCAACTAAGCCTGTGTGCCACGACTATGGAGCCTGTGCTCTAGAGCCTGCAAGCCACAACTACTGAGCCTGCGTGCCACAACTACTGAAGCCCGTGAGCCTAGAGCCCACGCTCTGCAAGAGAAGCCACCGCAATGAGGAGCCTGCGCACCGCAATGAAGAGTAGCTCACACTTGCTGCAACTAGAGAAAGCCCGCGCGCAGCAACGAAGACCCAACGCAGCCAAAAATAAATTTAAAAAAACAAAACAAAACAAAATAGGAAATAATGAAATAGAAAACAGACAATAGAGAAATCAATGAAACCAAAAGTTAGTTGTTTATCAATGAAACTGATAACCTCTCACTAGACTAGTCAGGAAAAAAAGAAAGAAGACACCAATAATCAATATTAAGAACAAGAGAGATGGTATCAATTCATTAACTGGGGAGCAAGGGAGTGTTATGAACAAGCTTATGCCAAGAAATCTGAAACCTTGGAAGACACAAAACACCATACTCACTCAAGAAGAAATAGATAAACTGAACAGCTCTATATCCAAAGGAAACGGAATTAGTAGTTAAAAATCCTCCCACAGAAGCAGCCGCACAGCACAGGGAGATCGGCTCGGTGCTTTGTGACAGCCTGGAGGGGTGGGATAGGGAGGGTGGGAGGGAGGGAGACGCAAGAGGGAAGAGATATGGGAACATATGTATATGTATAACTGATTCACTTTGTTATAAAGCAGAAACTAACACACCATTGTAAAGCAAGTACACTCCAATAAAGATGTAAAACAAAACAAAACAAAAAAATCCTCTCACAAAGAAAACTCCAGGCCCAGATGGGCTTCATATTGAATTCTACCAAACATATACAAAGATTAACTCCAAATAGATAATAGGTCTAACTGTGAGAGCTAAAAATATAAAATTCTTAGAAGAAAATATAGGAATAAGTCTTCATGACTCTGGGCTAGGCAATCTTCTTAGATATGACACCAAAAACACAAGCAACAAAAGAAAAAAATAGGTAAATTGGACTTCGTCAAAATTTAAACGTATGGGCTTCCCTGGTGGCGCAGTGGTTGAGAGTCCGCCTGCCGATGCAGGGGACACGGGTTTGTGCCCCGGTCCGGGAAGATCCCACATGCCGCGGAGCGGCTAGGCCCGTGAGCCATGGCCGCTGAGCCTGCGCATCCGGAGCCTGTGGTCTGCAACGGGAGAGGCCGCAACAGTGAGAGGCCCGCGTACCGAAAAAAAAAAAAAAAATTTAAACGTACGTGTTCAAAGGACACCATCAAGAAACTGCATGATAACCCACAAAATGGGAAAAAGATATTTGCAAATCAGGTATCTGATATGGGAGTTGTATCCAGAATATATAAAGAACTCTCAATAACTCACAATAAAAAGACAAGTTGCCCCAATCTTTTTTTTTTTTTTTTTTTTTTGTGGTACACGGGCCTCTCCCTGTTGTGGCCTCTCCCGTTGCGGAGCACAGGCTCCGGACGCACAGGCTCAGCGGCCATGGCTCATGGGCCCAGCCGCTCCGCGGCATGTGGGATCTTCCCGGATCGGGGCACGAACCCGTGTCCCCTGCATCGGCAGGTGGACTCTCAACCACTGCGCCACCAGGGAAGCCCTGCCCCAATTTTTTAATGGGTAAAGGATCTGAATAGATATTTCTCCAAAGAAGATGTACAAATGGCCAATAAGTGCATGAAAATAAATGCTCCAGATCATCACTCATTAGGGAAATGCAAATCAGAACCACAATGAGATACCACCTCCTGCCCACTAGGATGACTATAACCAGAAAGACAGAGCAAAAAGTGCTGGCGAGGAGGTGGAGGGTTTAAAACCCTCAGCCATTGCTGCCGGGAATGAAAACACATCCAGACTGAAAAGGAAGAAGTAAAATTGTATTTATTTGTAGACGACATGATCCTGTGTATAGAAAATCCTAAGAAATCCTCAGAAATAACCAGCAAGGTCAAAGAGTATAAGATCAACATGTAAAAATCAACCGTAGTCTAGTAATTTCTGAAGTGAAGATAACAAAACAATTCCGTTTATAATAGCATAAAAGAATGTAACAAATGTATTAATAAACAAATAATTAAACAATAATAAATCACTGATCGTTTATTAATAAATTTAAGAAAAGTGCGAGACTTGCTCACTGAAAAATACAAACATTGATGAACGTAAAGAAAAATAGGTGGAGAGATGTGTCATGTTCACGAATCAGAGGATTCAGCGCTGCTAATGGCGGTTCTCCCAGCTTGAGTCAATGCATCCCTAACAAAATCCCAGCAGCTTGTTTTCTTTCCTTTTTGGGGGCACAGAAATGGACAAGCTGATCCTAAAATATTTATATGGAAATACAAAGGTCCCAGATTAGCCAAAACAATTTTGAAAAAGAACAAAGTTGGAGGAATCTCCAGTTTCAAAGCATACTGGAAGGCTGCAATAATCAAGATGGTGTGGCAGTGGCGTAAGGATAGACACATCAATCAATGGACAGAACTGACGTCCAGACATAAACCTTCACCCTTACGGTCAAGTGACTTCTGACCAAGGTGCCCAGGCAATTCAGTGGGGAAAGGACAGTCTTTTCAACACATGGCACTGGGACAACTGGAGTCCACATGAAAAAAGATGAATTTAGACCTCTATCTTATCCACAAAAATTAATTCAAGAGGGATCAGAGACCTAAATGTAAGAGCAAAAGTTGTACAAGAAAACAGGAGAAAGTCTCTGTGAACTTGGGCTAAGAATCCTTAGACAAATCACCAAGACCATGGTCCATAAAAGAAAAAAATGACAAACTGTACTTCATCAAAATTTTAGGGCTTCCCTGGTGGCACAGTGGTTGGGAGTCCACCTGCCAATGCAGGGGACACGGGTTCGAGCCCTGGTCCGGGAGGATCTCACATGCCGCGGAGCAACTGGGCCTGTGCGCCACGGCTGCTGGGCCTGCGCTCTGGAGCCCACGAGCTACAACTACAGAGCCCACACACCTAGAGCCCGTGCTCCGCAACAAGAGAGGCCGCCAAAATGAGAGGCCTGTGCACCGCAACTGAGGGGTGGCCCCCGCTCGCTGCAACTAGAGAAAAGCCCGTGCGCAGCAACAAAGACCCAATGTGGCCAAAAATAAATAAATTAAATAAATTAAAAAAAAAATTAAAATTGTGCCCTTCAAAAGACAACATTAAGATTAAAAGATAAGCCACAAACTGAAAGAAAGTATCTGCAAATATATATTTGCTAAAGGACTTGTATCCAGAATACATAAAGGACTTGTATAACTAAGACAAACAACCCAATCCAAAAAAAAAAAAAAAAGGTGAAATATATGAATAAATATTTCTCTGTGGAAGACGTACAAATGGCCAATGAGCACACGAGAAGCTGCTCAACGTCGTTAGTTTTAGGGAAACGCAAATCAAAACCATGAGGAGGGACTTCTCTGGCGGTCCAGTGGTTAAGACTCTGTGCTTTCATTGCAGGGGGTGCAGGTTTGATCCCTGGTCAGGGAACTAGGATCCTGCATGCCGCGCGGTGCAGCCAAAAGATTTTTTAAAAACCCAAAAAACAACCAAAAGAAAAAAACAAAGAAAACAAAAATCCATGAGGAGATGCCTCCTGACATCCTCAGGATGGTTACGCCCTGGCAAGGATGTGGAGAAATCGGAACCTTCGTACATTGCTAATGGGATGGTAAAATGGTGCAGACACTTTGGAAAAGAGTTTGGCCATTTCTTGAAAAATTTAAACACGAACCTACCCAACAATTGACCCAATAATTCTCCTCATAAATATATACTTGAGAGAAATGAAACATGTTTGCACAAAAACCTGCACATGAATGCTCACAGCAGCCAAGTGCCAAGGACTGGACTGTCGCCCACGGACGCAGGTGAGCAAAGTGCTGGGCGGGCAGGATGGGAGGCTAGTGGTCCACAAAGAGGAGAGCAGCACCGCGCACTGGGCGGGAGGGAGGAGCAGAGCGCGACCACAAGTGAGATTCCATCTACACTCAGTGTCCAGGAAAAGGCATTTGTGGTGCCTGGGATGGAGGGTGGGAACAGGGCAGGAATGAGAGGTCTTTCTGGGGTGGAGGAAATGTGCTGAAATGGAACTGGTGTAGCAATGGTCGCCCAACCCTGCTTTAAATCACTGAATATAGATGAATTTTATGGTATGTAAATTATGCTGCAATAAAGTTGTTAAAATAAGCCAATTGTGACTAAATATACTTGGTTTATGCTGCACGTCATGCTTCCTACGCGGAGCCGTGGAACCGAGCTGGACCACTGTGCAGGAACGTCTGTCTCCGGTGGTCCCGCCCCGTCCCTCTGGGTCTGCTCTGCTCACGGGGCGGGAAGCCCGGTCGTCCCTCTGCTTGGCCGCACGGCTGACTGAGCATCTAGACGCAGCCCAGACGGATGGGCGTCTGTCCACCTTGGTCACCCCACGAGGAGCTTGAGAAACCCTCCCCTTGCCAGGCTGAGCGGCTGGCCCGGCGCCCACATGGCCTCCTCTGTCCTCTGACTCTGAGTGTGTGACACCGGGAGGGCCGCCTGTGTGCTCACGCACATGCACACAGATGCACACACAGAGCCCATGTGCTCACACACGCACATGCACCGCACAGCGGCCTCCCGCCGGCTGGAGGGTTCGCACGCCCACTGCCCTTTCTGTCGAGGCTCTGGCAGCGAGGACTTGGGAACGGGGTGACCTGGGTGCAGCCGGGAGGCCAGAAGCCACCTGTGGCATCTTGTCTGCGTTTTTGCTACTTCAGAACCCGACAGCTGCTTATCCTTCTGAAAAGAATACATAACCCTGGCCGCCTTCCTGGAGACACTTACTCATGGCAACTTCCCCACCGTCCCGCTGCAGCTGAATGGTCAATGTGAAGGAAGATCCCTGGGCCACGTCCATCACCTCCGGACCCAAAATCATGATCCCTGTAGCTTGTGCTGGGGAGAGCAGAGCGCACCTGTCGTGGGGTCAGGGCGGTGAGTGCCACGGGTCTGCATCCCGCATCCTGAATGCCCTGTGCAGCCGCTCAGGCCTGACCATGTCCCTGAGGGGCGCTGCGGGGGTGGGGGGCGCATGGATGGCACAGCTGTCAGGGCTGGGGGACCGTCACTGACGCCGTGACCTTAACCCCGTCCTGAGGGCCGGCTACAGTGATTTGAAGTGGGTCGTCTCAGAACTGACCTGATCACGGTAGGGGGACGGCAGAGCTGAGGTGACAGCCCAGCAGTGCCCAGTGCACCCGGGGCACGTTCCCGCACGGCCTCCCGCCCACTGCTCGGACCCGGGCCCCGCATTGCGTGCGTCTGAGTCAGCGACCTGATGTGTGCTGGACGAGGCTGTGGCTCTCTGCCTGGGAGCTGGCCTGGTGAGCAGGGTCCACCCACAGCTCTGAGTGAGCAGCTGCACCCGTGGACCTGGCACCAAGGTTCTGATCGGTGACCCAAGTCCCTGGAGTCTAACAGAAGCCCCCATGCCCGGAGGCAACACGGGGAGGGTGAGGCGCCAGCAGAGGAACCTGCAGGCCACAGGCCACCTGTGCGCACACTGCAGTGCAGAGAGCTCAGGGTGGGGGGCTGGATGGAGGCTGTGCAGGGGGGCCAGACGCCCAGAGCCCCGTGGGTGGGAGACCCCGAGGCTGGGAGCCCTGCTTGAAGCAGGACCACTTGGGTCCAGGGTCTGACGGGGGCCTCTGCGTGTCACAAGCCCCGTGAAACCACAGCAGAGCATGTTTCTCCCGAAAGGGGATTCTAGGTTCCACTCCATCCAGCCCCGCTTGGTCCACACCTCCCGCGAGACTGCCCAGGGCCACCTGAGAAAGGACACGGCCAGACCCAGACGTGACCCCACAAGAGGACCCCACGGGGCCAGCGGCAAGGCCGGGGGCACCTACTCATGGGGTGGCCGTTGATCCACAGCCCTCGGTAGACGCCCCCGGAGCAGTGGGCCATGCTGCCCTGTCCACTGAACACGTCACCGTGCCACCGTCCCTGTGGAGAGAATCATGGGCTCAGACGGGCCGGTCTCCCTGCCTCACAGCCCGGCGGCCCCCCAGGCTCCGAAGGCCCCTGGGGACCTCTGCAGAAGGCGCTGCCCTTTGAACTTTAAGAAGCCAGGAAGTTTGGAGACAATGGCCCGAATACAAAATGCAAAGAAAATATGGCTCCAAAGGGCACACTTTTTAGCACAAAACCCTTTTAACACAAAGATACTGCATTTGTGCAGAGTCACGGGAGGCCGACTGTGCAGGCGAGCGAGCGGAGGCTTGCGGGGTCGAGGTGCTGAGCGTTCTGACACGCTCCTTGATAACAAAAAGGCCAATTAAAATCACACTGGGAACCCACACAGCCGCACCCTGGGGGCAGTGCCAACTCGCTGCACACCCCAACTCTGCCACCCCCATAATAAGCCTGCTTTGTAAACGATACACACGACAGAGCGGAAGAATGGTGCCAAAGAGCAGGAAGACTGTTTTCCTGGAAAAGTTCGAGATCTTAATGGGATTTTATTCAGCTATGAATTACTCCTATTGGAAGAAGCATTAGCCACAGGCGCGTTTTGGTTCGATTCACTCTTTAGCAGAAGTTGACTGTGCTCCTGCTTTCCTGCCCAGCCCTCCGAGTGGCCCGAGGCCGCCCAGCAGCTGGGGCCGGGCTCCGGTTGGCGGGAGCCCCTCAGGCCCTCGGGAGGGGCCGCCTGGCAGGTGGGGCCTGTGGGAACGGCCCCTGAAGAGCTCAGACACCCCAAGATCTGGGGGAACAGGTTCCACGGCTGTTTGGAACACACGGTCGCTGTGTTCACATTACAAGGTGACAGGGAAGGGGCCCGGCCGCGGCTCCCCCTCCAGCCGGGGCACCAGACAACTGCGGCGCCCTGGTGGGTGCATGGCAGTAGCGGCAAGGCAACAGCTCGCGGCTGCAGGAGGGGCCGGCTGCCAGCTGGGGGTGGCAGTTGGGCAGAGGCGTGGCTGTGCCCCCCACGGGAGGCCTGGAGCCGCAGGGCAGCCTCATCCCTCCAGCCCCCAGACCCAGAGAGCTCTGCCCTCTGGGCCCACACTCGGGCTGTGTTCCCGGAAAGCTCGGTGCCAGCACGGCTGACATCGCAGACGGTCTATCGACGTCCCCTAAGACGTGGCTCACGTCTGCAGGCAGCGTGCCAGGCCAAAGAGCGGGCGAGGCCCCAGGTATCACGCCAGAGCAGGGACCGCCGCCAACCCAGTGGGCCCCGTGCTGCCGTCCTGGGCTGGGGCTGGGGAGCCCCAGAGTCACTAGCTGACCATCCCCGGAGCCAGTGTGGACTCCAAGCAGCTTGATGCCTGGTCCCAGGAAGGGGTCCTGTGCACAGGTGTGCATGCATGCCGGCGTGTGCACCTGTGTCTGCTGTGTGGTGGAGGCAGCAATGCTCAGTGATCGCGATGGGCGGGGTGACTGGGGGGGAGCAGAGCGGGAGGGCCCTGGCCGAGCTGGGCCATTGTCTCTGAGTCCGGGTGGGGCCAGCCCTGGGGGGCAGGGAGCCGCCCCCCACCCCCAGCTGTGTAGAGCACACTGACGTCAGAGCTTCTCCCAGCTCGAGCCCCGTAGTCGGTTTGCTGGGGTCAGTGGTGCTCCTCAGAGGTGAACGAGTCGCCGGAACCCTTCGCTTCCCTCACGCCGCCGTCCCCAGGCCTGAGAAGTGACCGGTTTCAACTCGGGAAGCAGGTCTCACGGCCAATCGAACGCAGCCTCTCAGGAGACAAATCAACTCATCACCCCGCCCGCCCCCCGCCCTTTTACGTAGAGGTTCATGCCCTCCTCTGAGGCTCTGTGCTGGGGTGCCTGGGCAGTGGGCCGGTGGCCCCGGGGGAAGGGTGGTCGCCTCCAGAGACAAACACCCCCCTGTGGGGCCCGGCTGCCTCCCCCGCACACCGCCCCCAGCTGGAGCTGCGCCCGCTCTGTGCCCGGGGCCAGTGTGCTGCCTGCCCGCACAAGCGCAGGCCTCACCCCTGTCCTGGGCAGCGGTGCTGGGGTCACCGCCCCTGCGGGATGGACGGGGGAGGACGCCCAGGGGCAGGTGGGAGACGGGGCTTCCAGCCACGGGGAAGTGGCGGGAGCTCAGTGCGCGCACACGCCTGCCCCCGTGACACGGTCTCGGCCTCCGTTCGAGCTTCTCCATCACGTGACTCTGAGCGCTCCCACCAAAGAGGGCCGAGCTCTGTGGCGCTCCGCGGCTCCCTCCCAGCGGCCTCTCCCTTCCCTCTCAGTCGTGGTCCCGTCTTGTCTGTCTGTCTGCTCTGGGGCATGAGCTTCCCAGGGCAGGGCTCCATGGGGACAACTAGGGCTCGAATGAGCGCGGGCTCCTCTCCAAACAGCACGATGGCCACTCGACCGTGTCGGGGTCCACGTCTCTGCACGCCCTGCCCGGCCCCTTGGCCCTCTGCGAAGGCGCAGCGTGGGTTTTCAGGAAGAAGGCAGGCAGGGCCTAGGGTTGCCTGGGAGCCAGAAGCAGACTCAGGCGGGTCCAGCACACAGAGCCTTGGAGCATGGCCTGCGGGCGCACGGGCTGCCGCGTACAGAGCAGACAGGCAGTGAACGTGCCCCTCAGACCACGAAGCCCCGGCCCACTCCGGCCCGCTCCGGCCCGCTGGGTGTGAGCAGGGTCAGGCTCCCCGCCAAGTCACTGTCCAGTCCTCGCCATCCACGCATTGACCGACTGCTTAATCGCTGACCGACCGCTTAATCGCGCTCCCATAATCTGAGACCCCCCCACCCCCCAGCTCAGGCTGCAACACAGCGCTTTCCCAGGACAGATACACGATACACTCCAGCAGTGTAACTCATCCAACAGCGTAGAATCTAATTAATGTTACAAATCATGCTTTCGAAAACCCTGCCCTTTCTCAGTCAGCTGACACGCACCAGAGCGCGAACAAACACGTGTTAACGCGTCTCGGCGCCTGGCGGCTCTTCCTTCTCCTCCCCGTGCAGGTGAGGACCTGTGTGTGCTGGTGCAGTGCAGGAAGATGCGAGGATGGCCGGGCCACCCTGCACGCAAAGCACGGGTGCGCAGGGTCCCTGTTAGGAGAGGCCCCGTGGGGTGAGTGGGGCACATCTTTTGGCCGGTGGTGGCTGAGGCAACCCCAGGGCCTCTCAGCTCCAGGATGGGGACCTATGTGCTCAGAACTCCTTCCCTGGTCCTTTCTTTGAAGAGCACGGAGTCGGGGGTGGGACGAGGGGCCGCTTGGGTGCCTTCCCCGCCACACACGAGTTTGAATAAATTGTGAGAAATACACACCTGACTCTTCTCATTTCGGGAAGCACTTTCTAGTTAACAGATTCCCGGGAAAAGTGACGGTGCTTTCCCTGGAATTGCTTCTGCGGTTGCGTTGCCCTGTTGCGTTTTCAGGCGCTCCCAGGCACACTCTGAATCTCCGCCCCGGTCAGAAGCCCACCTTCCCAGCTCATCCATCTCTTCCCCACCTCCAGTCCTCCCCAGGGCACCGGGGTTTGGCCGACCACACCAGGAGGGGCTGGGGCCCGGCTATCCACAGCATCTTCTTTGATGGCATCCAGTCTGGAGGAGGTGACTTCCCACTGTCGCCAAACTCCCTCCTGGAGCAGGTGAGGACTTTCCTGAGGCCACGGCTCCTAGACCAGGGAGGGGCGTGGCCCCGGGTCACCTGCCTGGGCCTGCGGCTGCAGGGGCCCGGGATCTCCAGCTTTCGGGGTGGCCTGCTGGGGCAGCAGTGGCCACACAGGCCAGAGTGTTGGTGGCCCCTGCCCATCATTCTCTGCAGACACAATGGCCCTCGCTTCCCAGCTAACAGCAGGGTCCCTAAGGTGTCTTTGACCTCCACGGTCCTGGCCGTAAGTCCCCTGGATTTCAAAGCGTGACAAGCTCTGCTGATGCAAATACAAGCTGCCTTCACGCTCCGGGCCCTGACACCCGTATGCGCAGAACCCCACCGGGAACATGGGGCAGTGCCGGTTCTGCTCTGGCAGCCCAGGCCCCTCCTCCTACGATGTGCCAACGGGCCCAGATGCTTCTCACGGTTAGGCCCCCATTCCTGGACTGTGACCTCCCGGCCAGGACAGTGGCACAGGGACACGGAGCCCCTGGCATTCCTACAGATGCACAGGTGAGGAGAGGGGAGGCTGGGAGCCACCAGCAGGTGAAGATGCGCATGAGGCCGACCACCTGCTCTGTGCGGTGAGCAGGTGCGCCGCCCAGCAGGCCTCCCTTCGAGAAATGCAGAGCAACGCCAACACGAGAAACGCAGCCAATGCACACGGAGGTGCCCCGGGATGGGCAGAAGCGCAGCTGCTGGCGGCACCACGGCACAGCCGCACAGGTAGGAACATTCCATGTGCACAGAGGCTGAGGTTCACTGGAGAGCACGCCTCTGTCGCCTCCGCCAGGTGTGCGCTCGCCTCCACAGCCCACAGTCTGTCCCCAGGCTCCACGGAGGCGGCCCCGGAGGACGCTGCTCTCCGAGGGGCTGCCTGGCGCCTGTCTCTTAGTCACTTCACTGGCACCGCGGTTATTTAAAAAGCAGAAAACATGGGGCTTCCCTGCCGGTGCAGTGGTTAATCCGCCTGCCAACACAGGGGACACGGGTTCGAGCCCTGGAAGTCCAGGAACATCCCACATGCCGCGGAGCAACTAAGCCCGTGCGCCACAACTACTGAGCCTGCGCTCTAGAGTCCACAAGCCACGACTACTAAGGCCCGTGCGCCTAGAGCCTGCGCTCTGCGACGAGAAGCCACCGCAATGAGAAGCCTGCGTGCCGCAACTAGAGAAAGCCTGCGTGCAGCAACGAAGACCCTATGCAGCCAAAAATAAATAAACAAAAAACAAACACAAAACCCCCAGAAAACACAAGCGTTGGGGGAGGATGTGGAGAAATTGGAACGCTGGTGCGCTGCTGGTGGGAATGGAAAATGGAAAATGGTGTGGAGGTTCCTCAAAAAGTTAAAAATAGAATCGCCACGTGATCCAGCAGTTGCGCCGTTCCCAGAATTGGGAGCAGGATGGTGCTCACAGTAACGTCACTCACAGGCGCCAAGAGGTGGAGAGAGACCGAGTGTCTATCGATGGACGAGCAGCCGGACGCAGCGTGGAAGGAACATCCACACGGCAGAGCAGGAGCCAGCCTTAAAGAGGAAGGAGGTCCCGACACCGGCCCCAACGTGGATGGACCTGGAGGACACGGTGCCGAGTCAAATGAACTAGACACGAAAGGACACATCCTACACGACCCCACTTCTATGAGGTCCCTGGAGGAGATCCATAGAGACAGAAAGTAGGGGGGCGGGGGCCGGGAGCTGGGGGAGGGGGTGGGGAGTGAGTGTCTAATGGGGACAGAGCTTCAGTTTGGGGAAAAGAGAAAGTTCTGGAAATGAAGGTGGTGATGGCTACACAACAATGTGAATGTGCTTAATACCACCGGGCTGTGCACTTATAAACGGATGAGATGGTAAATTTTATGTTATGTGTATTTTGCAATAAAGTTAAAAAATAGAGAAAGCTCTTTGCCTAGTGAAAGCTTGGGGACAGCTGTACCCTCATGGGAGACATGCCAACTCCCTCTGGCGGCTCCATCTCTCCCAGGTGACCCTTCATGCCCAGAGGTCACAGGTTAGAGGTCAGGAGCAGGAGGCATCCCCACAGCACGGAGAGGCGGGCCCTGAGAGCTGGGAGCTCCTGTGTCCACACCGTCGGGAAGCTGTTTGGGACGTGGGGATTCAGGGCCTGGCTGTCCTCCCGGGGGGCCCTCAGGACATGGTCGTGGCTGCGACCGCGGGGCTGCGTGTCCCGGTGCTCAGGGTCTGGGTCGCGCGGACCTGAGAGGCTGGGGCATCGCTGAGCAGCGGGAACGCAGGCGGACGGCCTGAATCCTGGGGAAGGACCCTCGTTCACCTGCAAAGCGCCGGGGGGACGAAGCCGCTAGCCCCTCGCACTCTGCCGGCTCCCGCCTGACATCCGAGCCGGCGTCCCCTGGGCATCCGCTCGGAGGGACGCGGCTCTAGCTCCGCAGCCAGCGGAGGAGCCCCCTGCAGGGCCGGGCGGTCGGCAGGGCCGGGCTGCCCCCTGGCGGATGGCGGCGGAGAGCCCCCGGCCCCCCGGCTGAGCAGCGACTTGCTGGGGAGGCCTGAGCAGGGCCCCCCGTGCCCAGGCCACTGATGCAGAGGCCCTGGAGGGGCCCAAGCTGCCTCTGGGGGAAGGGCACGCGGGGTGGAGGGTGGGGGCGGAGGCTTGCGGGATTCTCTGGAAGAAGGCGAGGGCTCGGCCACCCCCTGGTTTGGGAGGCCTCCTCGTCTTTGGAACGGTGGTCGAGAGAGTCGGGGAGCCAGAGAGCAGCTGAGGGCAGTGCCAGCACTAGAACCGCGACCCCACACCCCCAGCCCGCGAGGTGTGGACGCTGTTGGGGGTTCCGAGCGAGGAAGATCCTCCCAGGTCCCCCTGTGTTTCCCTCTTCCGTGGCAGCTCTGGAGAATTCAGGCCAGTGACTGTGGCTGCCCAGGATGAGCCCTAAAGCCTGGCCCCATGAGGATGGACAGACGTCCCCCTTGGGGAGAAGAAGCAGAGCTCTGGCCGGGGCACAGCGGCATCTGCAAATGGGCTCTGGCGCAAACTGCCAACCGCAGCGGCCCAGGCGGCACCCCGGGAGTGGCTGGCTACCCAGACCAGGACTTGCGGTCCCAGGAGGGGCCTGGGAGGTGGTGTCACCTAAGCAGAGCTCTGCATTTTACAAGCAGGCAAGGTGAGCATGCCGGGGGGAGCCTCGCAGCCAGGGCAAGACTCCACACTCCCCAGCAGGCCACTCCATCTCAGGAAGCGCCCTGGCCAGTTACCAGTTTACTGCTTCTCAGCCCCCAAACGACCCTTCCTGCCCGACTCTGTGCTCCGGGAGCTGGACCCTGAAACGTGTCGCTTTGCCAGCTGGTGCCGTGCTGGGCGCTGCAGGGACCCTGCGGGGAAGAGGCTTCCCTCGGGCTCCAGGGTGCCCACTCCTAACCCCTCAGGCACAGGGGTTTGTCCTGGGCGAGTTCCTCTGTGTCCCAGGGTTTCCTGCACACACGGCCCCGGCGGCTGGCAGCAGACGCCCAGGGACGCCCAGGGAAGCTCCTCCAACCCAGCGGGCTGTGGCCACACCCCCTGTCGGCAAGGTCTGAGTCTCCGGAGGGGCTGGGCTTTCCCTCGTCTACTGGGACTTCTTTCCCAATCTCCACTCTTAACTTTCACATAAGAAACTTGGCAAAGATATGAATTCAGCTGACAACCTAATTCTGCAACCCACACAATCAAATTGTTTCAGCCCTGAGGCTGTGAGAAGTGAGGGACTCTCAGGACCGTGGCTGGAGCTGAGTGCAGACCTGAGCTCCCGTCCAGGACACCAAGGGCCTCGCGCCGCCGTCACTACATCCACAGCCACGTGCAACCCTCGGCTCCCGAGGCCCAGATTCAGCTGGCGCATCACAGCCGAGCTCGGTGGCAGCTCAGTCACTCCCAAAGCTACCACGTGCCACAAGTCACATCTCCCATGGCCTCAGCCCCACGCGGTCAGGCCCGAGGATGCAACCAGGCCGGTCCCCACCCCATCTTTGGGGGCACCTCCTGGGGCCACTTTCGCATTTGCTTTTGCCATATTCCTGCTTTTACCCCTTTGAGTATTTTGCTGTCTTTCACTAGTTAATACTTTCATGTTCAATTACTGGTGTGACTTCTGTCTTCCGGTGGATTAGGGTTCAGGCATCACCACCATCCACCTGACACTTGGGCCAAAAATGCAGGGACATCTTCGCTTCTGCTCTTGTCAACCAGTCCAGTGTCTGTACCTCCAAACCACCCCAAATTTGGTTCTACACCCCATGCAGGCCGCCATCACCTCTCTCCATGAGTGAGAGCAAGAGAAACCTTCCAAACACAGGGATCAGGTCACCAACTCCTTCCAGCACTTTCTGTGATGTGTAGGATAAAACTCCAACCCCTCGTGGCTCCAGGGCCTATGCATGGGACTGCCTGGACCTCCTGCCTTGCCTCCCCTGACCCCTGCTCTGGCCACGCAGGCTTCTTCCTGCCTTGGAGCCCAGCCTCGCCCTTCCGCTGCCTGCAATGCCCTTCCCTGTGGTCTCCATGCGGCGGACCCTTCCCATCCTTCAGACCTGGCTCACGCGGCATTCTCTGGCCCCTGGCTGCATCTCTGCAGGGCCGGCCGGGCCGACAGGACGGCGTGCGGGAAGCACAACGATGATGGATTCTGGGGGCCCGAGAAGGTCTTCCCACGTGCCTGAATCTCTTGGCCTCGTGGCACCTAAAACCCCCCATCAACCTGAGAGTAGCAGCTGCCACGATGATGGGGGGTGGGGCGCAGAGCCCTGCTCGCGAGCAGCAGGGAGGGGTCCTCGCCTGCTTCCCCAGGTTATCGAGGGCACTGGGACCCCACGGGTATCTCCTCTTAAAAAGGCTTCACCAGGCCATTCCCACAGGAGAGAGTGTTGGGTCATGGGGTGTTTCAGGAACCAGACGGGACGGAAAGGTGTTAGCATGTGGCCCTTAAGCTCTCTGAACCGCATCTTCTCATCAGCGAAAAGGGAATGGTGGCCGACCCTACATCGCAGGGTCAGAAGGGCAGCACCTGGGCTGCACCCCGGGCGGCACCAGGAGCAGAGGACGCCCGGCCGGTGGGTCCAGTACCTCATAGATGGAGCCATCCGCATGGCGCAGTATCCCGTGGCCCTGGCGCTGGTCCCGGACCCAGTCACCCTCGTACTCATCTCCGTTCCTGAGGGACAAACGCGGAGGCTGCTCTCAGGCTGGGAAGGGCCAGGTGGCTGTGTGACGCACACCGGCTCCTCTGACTGGGGCTCAGCACGCACCCCCGGGACCAAGGCAAAAATAGGCCCAGAACAGATGGCACAAGCTGTGGCCTTGCCAGGGCCCAGCCAGAGGGGCAGGTGGCCTTGGCGCCCGGTGGCGTGCAGTGACAGGAGGCCCCGCTTGCTGGGCCCCAGGTGTGAAGGTTTGGAGAGGAAAACGGGAAGGAAATGGGGGGGCCTGCAAATCCCAAGGGCAGAATTTTGCACAAAAACTGCCTGGAGTGTGAAAGACGCCCAGCACTGGGCCCGAAGCTGAGAGCCTGCGGGCGTCACCCGACTCGGCCCCACTCCACCCTCGCACCCACCCAACCTTCTCACCTGGTGTCTCATTGAAGGAGGGGAATGGATGTTCTTTCTACTAAATACACACAGAACCAATGTCAGTAACTGAGGGAGAAATTGCAGGATCATATGAAAAAATCACAGACCGTACTTTCAGGGCTGGGTGTTCAATGGGGGTACGGCCCACAGGATGGCGGACTCACCGGAAGACCATCCGCCCTTGGCCGTGCCGCTTGTTGTCGTGAAACGACCCCCAGTACACTTGTCCATCTGCGTCCACCAGGTTCCCCTGTCCTGGAGGCGGGCGAGAGTCGAGGGTCACCTCGTACCTCCGTTGGGGGAGGGGGGTGTCTAGAAGAAGGATGGGGTCGGCACCCCCTGTAGCTGGGCCCCATGGGGGTCCCCCGGCCCCGCAATCCGATCTGGGGCGGCCTGGCATCCACACGCAGCGGGAGCGGCTCTGAGTCCAGCTCTCAAGG